CATGACTTCCACTCCACCCACAAAATGGTCCAGGTGGGAGACTCCTACTGGCGCGTTGCTCAATCGAGCCTTGCTGAAGATAGAAACCTCTGGGTGGGGAGGTTTTTATTCAAATAAATACCTAAGGATGATGTTACATGAGAGATCTCCTGAGCAAGATAGCAAGATAGACACCCACCTGCCTGGGAAAGACAGGAAAGACTGTGTGTCACCTGTAATGAGCTGAGGTGGAACCCCACAGATGAGAGAGCGCAGCATCCGCTCCCTCCTCAACTCCACTGTGGTAACCAGGGCAGGCCTTAGTGGTACAAATCTCTCCTCTGTGGACCCTCCCCGCTCATTACACCCAAATGCTACCTCAGATGGTCTCAGTTCCTTCAGCTGCCACCCCCATTGATCCTATGGTAATCTGTTCAATACGATTTTTATCCAAAAGTAATGGAGCTACAGTCATGACTAACATTTATTGAGCACTATGGGCTAGCCACGATGCCAAGCACTTTACAGATCACCCATGTAATCCCACCAGCAACACTATGAGGTAGACGTTCTTACTGTCATCCTCACTTTACACAGGAGACTGAAAACAGCGAAGCCTAGACCCCTGAATTTCCAGGCTGGTGCTTTATCATCATGTAATATCGCTGCAGCAGGTATCACCAAATACTTTACTGCCTTTGTTGCAACAATTAATTGCTGCCAGACTACCTGAGCAAGGATGCCCATGGTTTGGAAGCCCGTAAGGACTTCCTGGATCAATCCAAACAAGGTTATTACCTGAAATTCTATACACTGCTCTCAGCATCCTACTATGCTATTAGTCAGAGTCCTCCGGTGTTGATTAACTGACGAGAAATGCTTCATGTGCCTGTGACAAAGCTGCATCTCAGAGCAGTTTTCCTTGAGCAGTGCCTAGCTGGTACTCTACTAAAAGATGACAGATGTCTGATGATGGAGATATTTAGAAGCAGAGCATGAGGTCACACATCTTGGTGTACTTACAAGCTTGGCAGTTGTAACTGTAACCATGATGAAGCACAAAGGAAATGCCTGGAGATGGGAGAGAGCCGATGAGGCTTCTTTAAAGAACCCCTGAGAGTGTCACATCAGACAGTCATTTTTAGACACCTTAAAGGGGCATGGGTGTCCAATCAGGCTTCCCAAAAAACTCTGGGTATGTTCATCAGAAGATGGAAGGTGGTTGAGAGAGAGAAGGGAAAGAGAGAAAAGTTGGGGATAGCTGGGAGAGAGTGAATAAAGATGGAAGAAAATAGTCTACTGATACAGATTAGCATCAAGAACAAAGATATTTACTCTGCCGAGATTGAAGAGGAAGAGCTGGGGGTGGTGGCGTGGAGGACATAGTCACGGTAATGAGCTAATTCCTAGGGTGATGACCCTTGATGGTCTCTCTTCTCTGGGGCAGTGGGGAGAGCCAGAGGTACATTGTTCAACACACGGCTGGTGGGGAAGATGGGAAAGGGAAAGAAGTTTAAAAAACAGTTGCGGTGGACCAGAGGAAACAAGAATGATACCGATTTACAGAGAATACGTTGTGGCTTTCGTTATAACACACAAATTATTTCATGAATTAAGGTTTTCTTCAGAATGCTCTGTGGACCCTGAAGGGAAGAGATCTGTGGATTTGTGGCAGGAGGGGAAATTAGTAGAATAGAAAAGGGTGAAACTGAGCCAAATTGTAGGGTTAGTAGAAAGAGTAATTAGAAAAGAACTATAGTCTGAGGAAGCAAGAAGAGTTGAGAATCTGTACACATTCATTCATTCATTTCACAATCTTTTATTGAGGATCTATTGGATAATGGTCATCTGCTAAGTGCTATCTACATAAGGATAAGTGAGATCCTGCCCCGGAGTTAAACCTTAAACAGTGGCAGGGCTGTCACTAACGACTATGGAATACATGTATACGCATATGCTTTGGAAAAGTTGGTTCTAAGTGGTGCCAAGTCTGTCTCACACTCAGACAATAAGAAGATCAGAGGAAAAAAGCTTGAGTCATTCAGAGAGCAGATAGATCCAAACAATCAAATGACGTCCAACAGAGAATAACTATTGACATAAACAGAGGCCAAAGATCAAGAGAAGGGAGGGACTGGGAGTGCTGCGTGATCCTGGAAGAGAGGCCTGGGACTCAGGAGAGCTGGGAATCCGGGTTGAATCCAGCCACTGGAAATGCCGTTCCTTGAATTTACAGTCTTTTTTTTTTTTTTTTAAGATTTTATTTATTTATTTGACAGAGAGAGACACAGCGAGAGAGGGAACACAAGCAGGGGGAGTGGGAGAGGGAGAAGCAGGCTTCCCACTGAGCAGGGAGCCCGATGTGGGGCTTGATCCCAGGACCCTGGGATCATGACCTGAGCCGAAGGCAGACGCTTAACAACTGAGCCACTCAGGCGCCCCCATTCCTTGAATTTAGAGAAAGGATATAATTTGGTGTGGGGGCTAAACTCTCTGGCTTTCCCCCATCCTCTTCCACTCTTCATACGGGATTGTAGGAACGTACCTAGAATTGTCTGGGATTAGGACTGTTTTAGCTGAGGGAGTCAAATGAAAGGAGTAAAAATCATTGCTTCCGCAACAACCAGTCAGGGATCCATGTCCATGTAGTCTGGTCGGCCCAGGGCCAATATTAATATTTTTATTGATGTTTTTGGAAAGATGAATCTAGACTGTATACATTAATCTGACGAATAACACAAAGACGAAAATATACATGGCCTGTGTCCTTGGTGATTATTTATCATTTAGGTGTTTATTGCCTATCTTCTTCAAGCGAGACTATAAGTTCCATGAGGGCAGGCACCCTGTCTGTCCTGTGCGTTGCTATCTTCCTGGTGCCTGGAACGGGGCCTGGACCTAACAGTCACCGGGGAGGTTGTTTTAGATGGCTTTGAAAATGCCACTAGACGGTGGCACATGCAGACAGCAGGATGACAGCCGAGGATTAACTCCGCCGTGGGGTTTGGGGAAGTCTTTGGAAAGAAGGTGGCATTTGAACTTGAAGAGTGGGTAGGACTCTGTGAAGTGGAATGGAAAGGGAAGAGTATTCCAGAAAGGGTGGGATACCATAAGTAAAGGCACAGTGTCATGAAGAAAATGATATGTTTTGGAGATAATGTTTACTTTTTTTTTTTGACAGAGAGACACAGCGAGAGAGGGAACACAAGCAGGGGGAGGGGGAGAGGGAGAAGCAGGCTTCCCACTGAGCAGGGAGCCCGATGCGGGGCTCGATCCCAGAGATGCAGAGGGAGAGGGAAAGAGAATCTTAAGGAGACTCCAGGCCCAGCACAGAGCCCAACTTGGGGCTTGATGCCACCATCCTGAGGTCACGACCTGAGCTGAAATCAAGAGTTAGATGCCTAACCGACTGAGCCACCCAGGCACCTCTGAAAAGCTTACTTTTTGAACATCAGTACTTTTAAGAGCGGACAGTATTATGCAGAGTAAACCTCCTTCCATACCTTACTTTGTGCAATAGTTGTGAAACAAGGACCACAGGGGAATGCAAGTCAATTAAACACTTTTAGAAGACTATGGAGTGAAATTCTTATGTGGATAATCCTGCCCCTAGTGAATCACCCCTATATATGGCCTTGGTCTAGCTTTTTTCTTAGAGGTTTATTCAAGGAAGTAGGAAGAAACTGGACAGTTGAGAGAAAAGGTAACAGTGGCTAATGTTTTTTAACAAAAAGTTGGAAAGATCCAAGTTTAAGGTTATTTAATGTGAAGAGGCAACACCACAAATGTTCACCATTTCAAGATTAGCACTAGCCCGCCCAACCTGTCATGAAAACAGACCAGCAGATGTGGAACCTTCAGAGACGCATTTGGTGAACACCTACTGCACAGCAAGAGCTCTGCCTACTTGCCTCACCCAATCCTCACAACAATCCAGAGAGGTCAGGATCACCACCCTTCAGGCTACAGAGGCCCGGAACGGTTAGGGAACCGGGGTGGTAGGTGACACTGAAATCGAGGCCGACCTCGGGGCTCACCCTCTTTCCTGACCCCAGGCTGCCTTTAACGTAGGCAGCGTTTTGCTTGCAGTATAGAGAAAACGTTCTTCACTCAACATGAAGCACCACACCACAGAAAGGCACAGGTTTCGGCGAGGGTCAGGTGGGTCATCCTGGGCCACTCCTGTTGCACTGTGAAGCAGTGCTCCCTAAATGGCCCCAGGCCACGGTGTGTGTCATCCACCCATTGCAGTTAACCCCGGGGTGAAGATATTGTTTCGAAGCCCTGGTTGAAACGCAGATATGGGACCTGGGAGGACTGACAGCATCTCTCAATTACACCTAATTAAAGAGCTGGCTCTTGGAGAACTTGACCCGACTGTCCAGGTGTCGGAAAAGGCGGGTGCTACCCGCGCACCCCGGAGGGCTGGTCCCCAGGCACAGGAAGGCAGGCAGGTGGGACGTGCGCGCCAGGATTGCGGGAATCACCCGGTGAGGCCGCAAGGGCCGGAGCTGAGCTAAAGCGAACTTTGCCTTCTGGACAATTTGGGGAGCAAGCGAGCAGCACACCTTGCCTCACTGCAGGGCTCTCTGCAGGACACGCCGACAGGTGTCCGGGTCCCGCGCCTCCCGCGGCTCAGCCCGGCACGACCCAACCGGGCCACCGCGGCCGCGTCCCCGCTCTGGGCGCCAGGGGCGGCCCCTCCCCGGGCCCGCGCCCCCGCGGCCCCGCGCCCCCGGCTGGGGACTGGGCATGCTCAGTCGCCGCCCGCGTCGCGCTCCCGGGGAAGCCTCCGCACGCCCTCCGCGGGCCGCTCTCGGTCGCCTCCCCGCCGCCGGCCGCCCGGGTGCCTCCCGGCTCGCTCCGCTCCCCGCGACCCAGATTCCTGGCCCGCCCCCGCCCCGCCCGCGCCCGCCGCCGGTGCGGCAGCCGCGGCCACCCCGTGCAGCCGCGGCGCGGGGGACGCACGGACCGCGTCCAGCGCCGCCTCCGAGCGCGCAGCCCGAGCGCCCGCGGAGGGCGGGGATGGAGACCCGGCCGCCGCGCGCCGGGACCTGCTGAGCTTCCCGCCGCCGCCGGGTCCGGGTGAGTGGCCGCGCCTGGGGCCGACCCCGAGGGGCGAGGGGCGAGGGGCGAGTGCCCCTGGAGAGCAGGGGGCTGGTGACGAGGACGCGGCACCGTGCGAGCTGCGTTGCGTCTGGGGCGCAGCCGAGAGGTCAGGGTTGTGGCTGGAGAGGGGCTGGGATGAGAGTGCGCCCTGTCTCGGTGCAGGGGCCTCGGGGGGCAACCAGGACCAGGTACCCAGGGTCATCCTTTCCCCCTCCGGCCCCCAGAACTAACACCCGCGGGGCCGCGGGGCCGCGGGGCCGCGCGGGGGGCCGTTTGCGTCTCGGCCCGGACGCGGGTCACCTCGCGACCGAACGGGGGCTCTGGAGGAGTCATCCCTGGCAGAGGCCAACACGGGAGGCGGGGGCACCGAGGGCGGCCTGGCCCCGGCGAGGGGCCGACCCGGGTCCCGCCCCCCCCCCCCCCCGCGCCGCGGCCTTGGGCCCCAGGGGCGGTGCGGGCCTGCGGGGCGGGGGGTCTTCCGCGCTGCGGCCCCCGAGGGGCCGTCTGAGGGGCTCCTGCAACTGCCGGGAAACTGCTCACTTCGAGAGCCTCTCTCCTTCCCGGGCAGGGAGAATGAACAGGCGACGGGGAGCGACGGGCGGCGGGGCGGCGGGCGGCGGGGCGGCGGACCGCGGGGCGCGGAGCGGGGCGGCGGGCTGCCGTCGCGAGCGCCTTCGGCCCCCGAGCGTGGCCGCGCGCCGCTCCTGCTCGGCGTGCTCCTGCCCCAGCTCTAAGCGGCGAGTCCGGGAACACGCCTTCTGAATATTTCAGGAGCGACCTCGCAGGCTCGCTTGCTCCAGCTCAAGTTTACCGAGGTGTCCGTCCGCCCTGCTGCACAGCCGGCTGGAAACCCCGTGCCTTAAGCTTTCCACATGCCCTCCCTTCCTCGCACCAACCAGGGAAATGCCGCTCCTGACCCCCGTGAGCGTCGGCATGGCCCCATAAATTGAGTGTGTCATTTGCAGAGCCCGGTTTGGGGCAGGCATCCAGGCATTGTTCTGCATCTCTGCAGTGTGTGCGTGTTGTGCCGGCAGCTCGCTTGACAACCGTCCTTAGCCCGAGCTGCCAAAATGGTGGAAAGCAGGTACCGCGCCGGTGTCGGGATAAACGTCTTAATTCATTATCCCCCGTGACACCGGCAGGTACGGCGGACTCAGTCATTCTCTCCCTAGAAGCTGGAGCCTAGATCAGTCCAGCTGAAAGTCTGAGGAAGGTGCACTCCGGTATCCCTCTCCTTAGGGAGGTATCGCTCTCTCCTTGTTGCTTTCGTGGGAATAAGCAACGAGCAGTCACTGTCACGAACACTGAAAGCGGAACGCATTAATGTGGGAAACTTTCAGGATTGGAACACGCCGTCCCCTTCACTCCCATCGCACCGTCACCGTCGGTAAACCCGCGCACCAGCAGTTAGTACTCTCCCAGGGTACTCCTTTGCAGAAGAAACCTGCTTTTCTTTCCTCTCTGAGACAGGTACGTCCTTCAACGACCTGGGAGGAATTCTTCTGCTGACCAAGGTTTCAAGCCTCCAAGATTTACAGGAGACTAAAAGAGGCAACTCTTTCCGCTTTCCAGCCCATTCACACTGACGCTGAAGCGCTTGGGTTTACAGACGTCTCCCATTTAGGGGCGCCTTCTCCAACAAAGACCCACTGCAGTTACATCACAGCCCCGGCTCCGCCTGCCGGGCTGCTTCTCCCCAGCCTCTGAGTGAGGACAGTATGTCTCACTGTGCTTGATTAATGAAGAAAAGAAAGCCCCAAAATGAAAGACTTACTTATTTCCAATATTGTGTTTTGCTGGCTTAATTGAAAATATTAAATTTTTAAAAATTATTAATTATTAACACATGTAGATAGGACTTGACTCAGGCCTAGTAATAACTGAATATCAGCTTTGTAAGAGATTTTGAGCAACGTACAGTGTTCTTTCTGCTAAAATTATTAACAGATATTGGAAAGGAGTTATATAAATTAGTAAAATAAATGGAAATTATATAAACAGCATTTCCTAAAGCGTGTTACTGAGATGTTCAGAAAGAAACCCAGCTGCAATAAAAGACAAAATCTGCCCAACTGAGAAGTTTGCAGAGCTGGGACACAAACCTCCAAGTGCTCTAAAGAAGCATCTTTAGAATTTTTAAGGAGTCACTGGTTGAACTGTCAGACTTAGCAAGTAAAAATACAGGCTGCCCCGTTAAATTTGAATTTCAGATAAACTATGAATAATTGATATTAGTTTAAGTATGCCCCATGCACTTCTTGCGACATACTTATACTTAAAAAAATATTTGTTGTTTATCTGAAACTCAGTTTTGATGGAGCAGCTCGTATTTTATCTAGCAACTCTAGTCACTGGAAATTTCTCACTCCTCGTTTCTGGGTCACTTATGGGTTGAAAATAAAGTGGAGCAGGAATCATATGCTGTTCTGCAGACAATCTGGGACAAGCTCATTTCTGGTTCAAGCTATTGAAAATAACTCATGCTTAAAAGTTCGTAGTTTCAGTTCAACACATATTTGTTGAGTACCTCTGCTTGCTAGGCTTAGTGAGAGGTGCCAAAGCTGTGAAGATGAGTAGGGACAGTGTGTGGTGGGGGGGGGGGGGGGGAGATCTACGTCATGAGACATGAAACTTGCTACGCCAAGTGGGTCTAGGAGCCGGGGAGCAACACTGAATTCTGCTGGGCAGCTCCAGTCGGGGAGTGAGATGACCAGCACTTTTGAGGGGCCTTGAATAAGAGAGTGAGATCTTATCCTTATTCTGGGAGGAAAACAATCCCTGGGTTTATAGCTAGTGGAGGAGAGCCAGAAGTTGAAGGGTTTTACTTGAAGGCTTCAGTTAGAGGACAGAATGGCCTGCTGAGGAGGGAAGTGAGAAAGAGATTCAGAAAGAGACTTTAAAGAGTTGCTGATGGGAGGGAGCAGAGATGGGACAAGTGCAGGGCTCGCTAATGGGTGAATGCATCTCATTGCATTTAAAAAAGCAGTTGGTCTGCCCTTTGCCTAATACCCTAAGTCCTGCTTCACTCTTCCGCTACCGTTCTGGTTTCCTCAGGTAAACAGTCATAAAGTAACACTGGAGTATAGCATTTTATAGTGTTTTGTATGAAAGTAGATGTTTAAGTATAATATTGAAATGTCTATCAATATTCAGTTGCTTCTGGCATGAACTTCTGAAAAAGGATTACCAGATGTTTTGGTTTTAGCAGATCTACTGCCTCAAGTAGGAAAAGATACTAACTTGCAATCATTTTCTGATGTTGTCCAGCTACCTTTAAGGAAGCATATTCTGATGGTGGAAAGAATGTAGATTTTACAGAAATAGCACTGTGTGAAAATGACCGACCATATGCTTGTAGTACCAGAGAGTACCTACTCAGAATATTCCAAATGCAACTAATTCCAAAAAATAGCACACCACTTACATTCGTGTCTGAAAACGCTGTGGGTGCCTTCACTATTAATCAGCACAGGAAGTTTCCAGAGAAGTTGAAGATCAAACCAGTACAGCCATGTAGAGAACTCAAAGATTCCGATTTGTCAATCTCAAGCAAAGGACACAGAGTGCCATTCTAGATAGCACTTCTGTCAACAAATCTAGTTATCTGAGGGACCATCTTCAGAAGAGGCTCATATGTTTGAGTATCCAGATGGTTAAATTTCCACTTCATATTTTATAGTAAGTCTTAAAAATCATAAAAATTACTCTATGCTAAAATGCATAATGAAGTAGTTAATTAGGGTCTTTCTTATCAAAGGATTATCCTTTAAAATAGAGCAAAAAAAAAAGTTCCATTTCAGGTATTTGTACCACTCCTCTTTGTAAGTGTCTGCCAAACGTGTCTTGCCTTATAATTCTGATAGATGAGAAAAAAAGTGATCTAGGACATACTGAACTTACTAAAATTTCCAGGCAATTAGACCACAGGTTTTATTTTCAGCAAGATTTCCCATGGATATGGCTTATTAAAGAAAGGCTTACTGCAATGGTCTCTAATGACCGCTTATGTGCACTATCACCCCGAGAGAGCTTTAACTGAAATTGTGTGCTCGGTTCACATTCTAAGTCCTCAGTAAATACTCTGAATTTAAAGAATCTGAAGACAGTGTGTTCTTGCATCCCAGGAGCTTTGAACACTCCAGCACACTTACGCTGACCACAAGCAAGTCTTATTTTACATCAGTTTCTGTGCTATAAAATGAAAGATAGGTGCATTTAAAAAAGAAAATTATGCCAACTCCAATCCTCTATGTCTATAAAATAAATGTTAGCTTTTACTACTGTTTTAAGGGATAAATAACTTCATTTTCAGACTTCATTGTCTAACTTCATTAGACAATTTGTATATTGTCTGTGTACCCTCTGCTGTTTTAGACACCATTGAAATAATTGACAATTTGCTCTGTTTCATTTTTTGCTTTTTCGGTACAAAGCAAGATGATTGTGGTAAATGCTTAAGAAGAGCTCATTAAACCCCTTTAAAAAATCAGTCTCAAACAAGCTAATAACTGCAGAACTCAAAGGTCTTTACATAGTTTTTAAATGTAGTTTCCATTTTAACTATTGATATTAGGACTTGGTTAATGAGAATGCTTCGTATAAGAGCTTATTTCAGCTGCTATAACTCTCCCTCCTATTTCCCTTGTACAACTAGATGGCAAAAAGCTGCTATGTGTTTTGAAGGTTTCATTCATGGTGAAACTAACAATTTATTTATCCCACAGCTGCTTTTTGGCTTAGCAAATATCAATGACATCATAAACTCTGTCCCCCCCCCCTTTTTTTTACATCACCAGTTGGCATTATAAATATTTTAGGTGTAAATCGATCCCTGCAATGAATTTACTATACAAGTACATTTCTTCCTTTTTCCTTCAGAAGAAGAATAAGAATGTTCCACGCTTCAGAATTTAGAAGCCAGATTTTCTAAAGATTCTACATTCCAGTAGAACACTTTAATTTTAATTAGATTTTCT